GTTGACAGATTCACTCTATACTTTCTTTTGTTTTGTTAACCTGGCCAGAGCATCTAATCTATATTTTTTCTTACTGAATGGACTTCTAGGTTAATTATTAAAAAATTTTATTTTGTTTATTTTTTTAGCTTTGTTTTATCCCAATTTAAAAATGAAAGAACAGGACGTGCACTTCCGACACATTTTATTGTATTTCTTTCGAAAAGGCAAGAACGCATCGCAAGCACAAAAGAAGTTATGTGCCGTATATAAAGATGAAGCCTTAAAAGAAAGGCAGTGTCGAAATTGGTTTGAAATATTTCGTTCCGGTGATTTTTTACTGAAAAATTCACAACTATCTGGCCGCCCAGTCAAAGTGGATGAAACCCATATCAAGGCCATTATCGATTCAAATCGTCACAACACAACACGAGATATTGCAGAGAAGCTCAATGTGTCGCATACATGCATTGAAAACAAATTAAAAACCCTTGGTTATGTCAAGAAAGTTGATTTATGGATCCCTCACCAGTTAAAGTAAATTCATTTGACGCAACGGATTAGCATCTGTGATTCGCTACTGAAACGCAATGAGAATGATCCATTTCCGAGGAAGAACCTAGTTACTGGCGACGAAAAGTGGATAGTTTATAACAATGTTACTCGCAAGAGATCATGGGCGAAGCAAGATCAACCAGCCCAAACAGTATCAAAAGCAGAGATTCACCAAAAAAAGATTATGCTGTCAGTCTGGTGGGATCACAAAGGAATTTTGTATTTTGAACTCATGCCGCAGAACCAAACGATAAATTCAAATGTGTATGTTGAACAACTCGAAAAACTGAAGGATGCAATTGAAGATAAGCTGCCGGCATTATCAAATCGGAAGGGTGTTGTTTTCCATCATGATAACGCAAGGCCCCACACATCTTTCGTTACTCGGCAAAAATGATTGGAACTGGGTTGGGATGTTTTGTCACACCCACCATATAGCCCTGACCTTGCGCCTTCGAATTACCATTTGTTTTGTTCCATGCAAAACTCTTTAAATGGTAAAATTTTTAACGACGCGGATGATGTCGGATCACACCTAATTCAGTTTTTTAATAGCAAAGACCAGACATTTTATGAACGGGGAATTTTTACTCTGCCACAACGATGGAAAAAGGTCATCGACAAAAACGGCCAATATCTAATTGAAAAAAGTTATATTTTTAAACAAGAATTCCGAATTTGCCTTCTTATTTGAAATTGGCAATGACTTAGTTGCCAACCTAATATAACTGTGCGCTTACTTTTACACGTGATAATCACTCGGCAGCATAATATCTCAGCTGATGTTACTTCCAATCTTACAATTGTTGCCTCACCTCAAGCTGTCGTGTAGTGGAAATGAACTTGAAAAGCCATTTAATCACCAACTGATTCAAATTCAAGTGTCATACATTAACTTCCCCAGTGGTGATTCCTGAACTTTGGAGTATGAACAAGTTGAGTCTATTAGAAATCTCAATGGATTCAGAGGAACACATCTGCATTGGGAAGAAACTAATTTGAGGATGAATAATTATAACGATAAAGATAAACAAAGGGAATATTTAAATGTGACAATTGCTTGAATGACGACTTGTTGTGATAATTGAATGCTCAAACGAATAGCTGTCATTGTGTCTCGATTACGTTTGTTTACGTTTAAAGAAACCTGGCACCACTTTTGACATATTGTTCAGGGTCATGGTGACTACAAATCAGTGCTCTTTATATCTGGAGGAAAACAAATCCTCATTCAGAATGCTTGGTGGAAGCAAACACAATTTCTGTAACGATTGCATCAAAAAGTTGTGCGAAGCTAAACGAACCTGTCCTCTTGACAGTACACCATTTGACTCAATCAATACAATACACGAAGTGGGGAGTGGTGCAGTTGTGGAAAAGGTTTGTTGAGACGTTCACTTTTAAATAGCATTACATTTTAGGAAAAACTAGAAACACGGATGTCCATTCAATACAGCTGTCCTTACATTGACGACGCCGATGATAGCGTCAATGTCGAGAGCGACGAGGCCGAAGAGATCTTCCATGACAATTGGTTTCTTTTCGCTTCATCTGAAGTTGGGGAACTTATTCGTTCAAGGGGGCTTTTATATTTTCATCAAGAAATACACCGAGAAAAATATTGAACTCCTTTTCATACACTTTTAAAATGTGTTGATTTATTTACCTTCCCCTCCACCCCCTCCCCCCCCCCCCCCCCCCCCCGACCACCATCAATTATTTTGAACTGCGCATGTTACCGCGAATGGGAGAGGCACTTTGGAATTATTGGCAACACTTCATATTCCTATTAAAATACTCCATAATCGCTGTGTGAATAGCTATATTATTTACATAAATAATTTTTCTGATTTGGTCACTGGTACTAAATCCACATTTAATATATTTGCAATTAATTTTTAAACCTGTGGCGGATTGCTACGGTAGTAAAGCCTGACAGATTTAGAAATGTCTATGAAAGATTCTCCAACAACTAGCTGGACTCCCAGAAGAAGCTAAGCTATAGCCCAGCTATAGGAGAAACAGACGTGTAGCAAGGAATACGTTTATTCGATACGCATATTAATAGCGAGGTATTATTTGACAAAGCGATTAGTTATCAGATAACTCTAGCATGATTCGTGTGAACATTAATAGCTAAACATTTCTGAGTAATATTCTACAGCAGGATTTCTACTTGGTTATTGATGAAGTGTCCCACAAACCTGTACCCTTTTCGAAATATACCATAAACGGGTTCTAATTAATTAATTAATTGGCATTTTGAGTGCGTATTAAGGGGCTCCATTTCAATGGTTCTTTTAAGTTGTCCCATTTGAAGTGGTATTATCCAAAGCAAACTTAAAATACGTTTAACATTGATATATTGAATGCCATTTGTGTGCTCAAATTGGCGACATTAAAAGCTTGTTCTGCGTTGTTGGCTGCAATGAATGTACTCTAAAATATAAATTTCGCAAACTTTGTGCTAACAATATTTCGATTTGTAAAGTTACGAATTAACTAACAAGATTTCCTCTTTGCATATTTGGTCAGCACTAACTTGCTTTTCGAGGTTTTCAAGCGAATCTTGCATTCTCCACTTTAATATAAAAACTCTTCTTAAAATTCAAAATTTTGCTCCAAATTTTTGAATATTTAAATGAATCGCTTCCAACAATTCAAACGTTTCGGAAATCTTTACTTAACGGAAGTTAAAAAAATAATTACGGTGTGAGCTTGTCATTTCAAGATTGCAAGATATTTCAATTTATTTTAGTAGTGTCATATTTAATTGAAGATAAGCAAATAAAGTTGGGATGCAATTTGCATTTTTTTAAATAAACTCAAGGTGAAGCAGTAAGGGAGCAATTAATATAAGCATCATTATTAAAAACAAGATAAAAGTCAATTAAGAAATTATAAGTCGCAATAGAATAAAATGCAGCAAA